TAGAGAGTCGATGGATGGGTGGAGTCGAGTTCGCCCTGCCCGATACCTTCCAAAGGACCGTAGTGCAGTTCTAAGACCCCCTTCACCGGTGGGACGAAGGCAGTAAGGGTCCCCAACTGGCCTCGGTGTAATGTGATCACCTGCACCACGACCAGCTGGATGTAGGCTACGTCCAGCTAGCGTACACTGTTTTACAGTGCGTCACTGCGCATTTTGCTCAAAACGTGCGTGTGTAGATCGCAACCCGTTCGCTACAGCGTCTGGTTTTCCACTGTGGGTGACCACTGTGTCTACTGTTTTCTCGGTAACCAATAATTCGGTGACCAAACGATTAAAAGATAACAACATATAAAAAAACCCAAAAAAACATTTTTTGGCACGTTTTCCCTTTCGGGATTTCAGCTCAACTCTTTCATTTTGAAGAACATGGACTATTCTACCCCTCCTGTATCATCTTCACTGACAAGAAAAAGACTTTGAGGGCTTTGAGGGAAAAATATAGACCCATTTATTTCTCGAGGAGTACAGGACAGGAAACCACTGATTTGTAATCGACGAGTCAACTTGGGAGATAATGGAACCCAATTTATCTTGTCTGAACCTAATTCCACTTGGTTTACAACACTTTCCAAAGGAAAAAAGGTTGTTTCATTGCACCCCTTTAATGGTTTATGTCAACCATAAATTACATCATTTTTTCCTCTCACGGTAACGAAGAACCGGGGCGGTCTCTACAGGCACGTGTATAGTAGCTTGCTGCTTTTTTTCTGGCTGTAAAAATGGATATCCAGAGAGCGAAAACGCGGGAGTGGTGCTCACTGTGGTAAGAGTGGGGAGGGTCGCGTTGGTGACGACCGGGGTGGCGGAAATGACATCTGTGATGGGTGATATGGGTGATTATGACGGTGACGACGGTGGTGACAGTGGTCATGATAATCATGCGCACGGTGATGACGGACGACATTGTGATAGGGACGATGACAACGTGGTAATGTGAACGAAGGTTAGAATCACAGTACTGGGATATCTGTTTCCGTTAATGAATACTATGAGGACATTAAATTTTTACTCTCTGTGAAGAAGTAAGTCGAGGATCAAAGGAACAGAGAAGGCTTTACAATATTTAGCCCTCGATCAACCTTCTACAAAGTTTGACCTTTGCAATAGTAGCCATTGTTTCAATTTCAAGAGTCAGACCATTGGAGGCAGTCAGACCTGAAGAGAAGTACTTTCCTTCTTAAGTACTTGCACAGACTCTTCTTTCTCTTCCGACGGACCATAAATAACGAGTTCCACAGCGGTTTTGATGAAAAAACAAGACGGTCCCGACGGGGTCCCGCAGCGAGGCCCGCTGGGCGGCGCGTGTTATAGTTTCACGGGCGCGATGTCCAATGTCTGCTCGCCACGCGACCGCGGCCGGCTCGCCACTGCAACACAACCCAGATCACCGGAGGCATTAACGCCGGTTAATGGTACCTTAATTGCAAGTTAATCGCCACACTACAGCAGTCAATTCAGTCCTGCATTGGGACTAAAATGGATCAGTTTTTTTTTCTTCTGGCGGAACACGAAGAGCCGTCATTGCTCCCGTTTGCTGCTGCCCTGACCCTTCGACGCTTTCGCCCCACCCGTGCTGACTGAGTGCAGAACGAGGAGAACACGAGAAGGTCTGGGCTGGGCGTCACTGCACTCCCCCTAAGTCGATGACGGTGGGTTTCCCCACTGTAGAAGACGGATGATGCGCGCTTTCTTGGACTCCCGTCGACTACGACAGGGCAGAGGGACATTACCAAGAACCGCCTTTTAGTATCCAGACAGACAACGTCACGAGTCAAAACAGGCAGATATAAGAAACAGACAAGAGCTCCTAATGCTCGAATGATGACAGAACCCTGTTCTCTCTAGCCGTACAGACGGGACTATGGGCGGTACAGAACGAAACAAGGGGGAAAAACCGCGCCAGATGGAATGGCTGCTTCGGTTGGTTTACGGTAACCGGCAAAAGCTCGCCATCCACACAGCACATGGAAAGAACCGCACACATGCACACACAACGTCGAGCAATAATATTCGGGGAAATCGGTGCTCAGTCTAGCGTGAGTCTTGCACCTTGTGAGCGCCGCGGTGGTTCACGTTTAACTGCCTAATTTTCTCCCCTCAGAATGTGCTGGGTTTATCATGATTCCCCTTTTACACTTCCGAATCGATTTAACATGAAAATGACACCAAAGGATGCCGACAAAGCCGACTTCCATTCAGGTTTCCCTTGTCTGTGAACTGGTACGGGTTAGGAACGAAGAAAGAAATACACTGACCCGATTTCGTGACTTATTCTTTATTTAAAGACGTAGGCATTTTCTCATGACTTTAAAAGCCTCAAGTTCATATGGAGCCTTTTGTGATGATTTAATCATGATGAAGATGTACGAAAAGATAGTGCTTAATAATTTGTATGCTACTTTCTCTGTGCTTGGCCTAATTAATTGGACTGTTCTGTCGGTCTATTCTGTCTATTTCAAAATTCCCTTTTATGTTTTGTTGTCAAAACTGACATCATGCCACCCGGGGTTAGTGCCTGTTACATTTAAAACACATTAGTTGGGAATTTGTCACGTGGACAAGCGGAAAGCGAGGCATGCGAACTGAGGAAAATTAATGGGGGGAAAATGGAACAAGGAAATGTCATCACGACGCCGCAGATTGAGAAGTCATCATCAATGCTCCGGGGCGAGAAAATCCGTGGGGGATAGGGGAGCCGAGTGGACGGCGCACGAGCATACTCCGGGGCAGATGGGTCGGCGATACCTCTGCGGTCGGTCGGTGGGAAATCAACTCCAGAAAAGGGTCCGTAACTTTAAAGTGAACTGCGGTCAAGCTTGTGAAAATGTAGATCGAAAACACAAGACCGATATTTTTTTTTCTGTGTCGCTGTCTTTCTGTCTCTTTTCTTTGACCGGGGAGAAGAAAGCCCAGGGGCTATACATCCAGTCAGCTATGATGCCGCAAAGGGGCAACTACAAAGGAATTGGACGAGGACGGGATGGGCTTGCTCACGGGTCGGTTCGGGGCGAGTGCGCTGCAAAGGGAGGGGGTATGTTTCGGTTGCTCTCTTACCCACGGGCAAGACGTCATCAGCCGCACCGGCCACTCACCACTTATGCCCGGAACTACTGCGGATCTATAGGAACTGAACTTAACAGAGTGCATGTACTATTTTAATTCATCCATGTTTAAGCAGTCGACTATATCAATTTCAGCAGTATACTGTAAAAAGCGATTAGAGTTTGAAAACATTGCTAAACACTTGTCTTGTTAGTGCCATTTTTTAAACACGTTTCACCAGCGACATATTCAGGCATTTGTATTGAAATGCGTTCAGGAATGCGTTTAAATGCTACACAGATTTCACAAAACTGAACGTGAACCGCGGAAAAGCGTTTAGCATTTCAACACATTTCCAAATGCATCTCAGTAAACATGTCGTGGGTTAAACGAGTCTAAAAAGAGGGCATAAAAAGTGTTCAAACGCTGTCAACTGGCCCAAGGATACCAAGAGGATTTTAAGCAAGCAGAGTACATGTAACAAAATCGTGCTCGATGTGGACATTGAAGGCTGCAAAAAGGAAACTCAAATTCCCGGCAGAGGACTGACTAAGAATTAGGGAAGCTCGCTCTGCAGAACAATAATTTCAAACAAGCATGCTATACTGCGCCTCCACACACTCTCCTATACATCCTGTATATTCATGATGGAACCAGAGACGTCTCGAATCCGTAAAAGCACGCAGTCTGTCCGCTTTCGTCATGCAGGATACGCGAGCGTGCGCGTGACGGTCTAGTTCCGTGCTGATTTCGGCCGAGGCACATTGAATTCACCAGGCAATATAATGGTAACACTGTGAAGGTGGGACCAAATTACTTTCATACTATCCCGGCAACTCGTCATCACTGAGCCCGGTCAGTGATAACCGTGCCATTATTCGCTTGCTCAGCTCTAACACCCAGAAAGTACATGTATATGCCTGCTGCCGGCGCACTGACTGCCATTGTCAACCCCGACTGTGCAATATGGAATAGATCTTTCATTACATGCAAGGCATTCATTGAAAATGGGCGCGGACAAAATTGCATAAGGCTGCCCCAGAGAGCAATACACACAGGGAAAAGACTCACAGCAAGAATACAGGAGGTGGAGAGAAACAGGTTGTATAATCGCTCCAAAAGAACAAAGTTTCCGAGGCAAATGACAAAAGAGATTCAGGACTACAAGCCTGACGTATATATAAGCGAGTCATGGGCTGTCAACGATGAGGTCGGTCGACGGTTGAGAAGGCCAGATGATCGGCGTGCTCATTACTCCACGACTAGCCCCCCTCCCCCCAGCCGCGTTGCGTATCAGGGAGTGGGGGGAATTAAGAGAGAATTCATCCAGCATCGTCTGTTTTAACTCCGTCAATTAACGAACAAATTGTATCTACGCTCGTGACCCGTACGCATTAACGCTAAGAAGTAACTTTCCTGAACACCGAATTGAAATAGGTTTGGATCAAGCTACAACTTCTGGTTAGTGCTTTACTGTCAAAGAAAACAAACTTTCTCACAAATCTTGGATGTGGTCTAACATTACACAAAAAGAAAAGAAAATTAAATAAAATAACATGTACTTAAATTGACAGTTATGCGAATACGACTAAGTGGGGAAATCTAACCACGCTCTGTCAAACCGTGTATACCGAAGAAACACTTTTCTGAACAGTTTTTTTTTGCTTTCAGTTTTTAAACATGTTTGCATACTAAATATTCTTGCATTATTGATGGACAGTTCCTTGATTGAAGTGTATAGGAGTTGGACGCATAATTTTCAGCTTCTGAGCATGTTTAAAGAGCGCAGGCAAGGATGTGTTTCATTGCTAAACACAGTTCTTGGACTTTTCTCAAGTAATTTTCAGAGAGTTTAAATTTGCCTTAAGAAAGTACGAGTGGCATAAATATGGCCGTACCTCGCCGTGGTTTCTCACGCGCTGGAACGTGGCGAAAGTAGAATGGGTGAGTCAAGTCCATCGTCGAGCGTCCGCTGTTGCAGCTCCCGTCTTGGTCCAGGTGAAACCCTACCCTGAGTCCACACTCCGGACACAGTACAGACAATCACGACGATCCAGAATCCAGGACCGATTGGGGCGGACCGTCGACAGCTCCGAAAACCTCCTCGGGGGGCAAGTAGCGAAACAGTGTCTTCAGCAATCGCGAGCTGAAAGTTGTGGCTCCCCCTCGAATTTACCCACGTTTGCGATCATGCGCGGAGAAACAAAAAAGTACAAGCGAACTTTTCTAGTTGTTGAAGGCCTTCCTGGAGAAGAGCTTGTCGTGTAATTACTTGCTTTACTACAGCGGTATTGACAAGTTAATCTGCATCCGATTCGAAAAAAAAGTCATCTCATTGGTGGTTTGACTCGTTTTATGGAGAGAGTACTTGTTATGTGTTTGTGTATGTACTTTTTTTTTACCTTTGTGTACTTTATTGGTTCCGGAGGCGTAGGTTTGTTGTAAAGCTGAGTCGAAGTTGGCTGGTAGGGCATGCGTAGCCAAGGTCTGCCGTGCTCCACTGATGCCATTATCGCGACAAGGGGTCCTCTCTCAATCCCTGGGTCGGCTTGGCCGGGGTTTTCGTCTTGTTTACCCCCGGATCGTCTGCCTTATGTGCCGGAACAAAAAGTTTGCAACTATGACCCTTAACTTATAATTATTATTACCGTATGTTTTGAGGGACAGGCTGCGGACGGTGACGGCTGGCCGTCGTCAAATGCATGCGTCAATTGTTTTTTGTTGATTTTTTTTTTGGGGGGGGAATGTGCCACTTGCCCGGATTTGCAAGGACTGCAATTTGGGTAGGATTTGCACAAGATCAGGGAGGCGGACTTGTATAAAATTGGACCGAGTATTGCCCAAAGCTGCATCGATGGGAATTAGGTTTATAGATCCACATAAACTTCACGCTCACTCAAGCGTGGCGATTTCTCAATCGCTTGTTCCATGTTACGGTGGTCTCACTGGATAAATTTCGACAAGCTTGCCCCATGCACGAGCTTACGTGACAAAAGTGTTCATGTACACTACATGTACCCATCTCTGTTTTTATACAGGAGTCAAGTGTAAAACAGGCCTATCTTATCGCGTAGATCGTCGAGTGGCAGATGTATGGATTTCGAAGTGAGAGAAGATGGCGACGTGTACGAGCCTCCACAAAAAACCTCATCACACAATGAACCGTCACACTGAACATTAGAAATCCGCAGGAAAGTCTGTGGGATTCTCAAAAGATGGCTAAGTGCTGTCCTTCGCGGCGAAGTTACTTTACCTCTGAGGTTGCACGGGGTTGAATTCGGAATTTGATTGATGGTCGAAATTTCTTTCCCGGGACTCGAATTATTTTCTCGATATTTTCCTCGACATGCCCTCCAGCAGGAAATTGACACACGGGTGTTGTTAAAGGACCTTGTTGAAAAGTAAGGGCCTGATCGATGAAGTCACCGACCCACTTCAAGCCGAAAGGCCACAGTTTCCGTGTTCTCAAGCAATCGCGATCTGAAGTCACCGGCACAGCCACAAGACTTTGTCAAATAAAAGCGAAGAATCCGAAGCTTCAGTGAAAGTAAAACTCTGAGCTGACGGGAAGGCAAAATGTTTCCCTTTTTTCGACCAGAGTAAGGAAACACAGTGGATACTCAAATCAAAAGCAATCCACCATTGCTCCAGTTAGTTTACCCCAACAAAATTTCGGGGTCAAGGTTCAATGTCAACTCTGTAAACGGCGCTCGACGCGGCTGGCAATATCCTGTCTCTATCGAGGGGAACAAAAGTTTAAAAATAACGCCCCCCCCTGTCTCAGTGGATATATGTATAGGGGGCCTACTATTGCAAAAGAAAAAGTACAAACACTCTGGTTCCACAAGCTTGCGCACCGAGCATGCCCACTATTTACGGGCCCTGGCACAACCCCTTTGTTCACCAGCAACAATTTACACAAGTGGCCAGAGTAGCATCGTCACGCAATCTACACGCGCTGACGCCAATGCGCGACCCGGGATGTTTTGTTCGTTACGTCTGCGGCGGCAAGCTGAACTTTTTCCGAGGGGGGGCTGTCGATTTTGTGAAGGGGTTGTCCCCACGACTTGTCTCTCTTTGTCGGTCGGATAATTTATTTGTTTGTTTACTGTTGACATTTGGCGGCAACCGGGAGTTTCGTCCCTTTTAATCTATTTTTATGCCTCCCTTTGGCGCAATGGCGGGGTGAGATATGACAGATCTCGATGTGCAACACTGCCCAAGGTTATGACTGATACTTTTTTCGTTACGAAATTGACAGAGCAGGAACTATGGCTACTGAAGAGATTACTCTCCCCATTTTTGGGTGAACTAACATGCAATATTTACCCTGTTAAACGCACTTGGAGGCGTACGATCCATCTGAGCACAGCAAAGCGATGAGTTAATTTCACCCCAAATCACAAATTTTAAAGTGACTAAATGGAACCCGCAGAGGAAGACTCTAAACAGACAGCAAAATAAAATTACAGACAGGCCAACCCCAGCTAAGCAGACGGAAAAGGAAGCCACGTAAAACGATGTGCGTCATAATTATGCATATTATGCTCAGGACGCACACTTCATGTGCATAGTAATGAAGTCGTTCTACGTGGCCTCCTTTTCCCTCTACCGCCAAGCTACCACTATAGCTTGCAGGAGGGTTTCAGTTCGCTGTAACAGAAACAAGTCTCAAAACCATCGTTGATCTTGTTATCTACGGCGCCAAAGACTGTAAGAGGCAAGACTGGGTGAAATTTTCACACACGGCACTCGCAATGATGTCGTCTCGCAGTGTTATATTGGACTCTCGTCAAATCCAGTTTGGTTTCCTCTCTATGGACTTCCAGTCTCCCATCCTCGTTACAGATGTCATTGCTCTGTGCAAAGTCGTGCCTAGCACTGTCAACCAGTCCCTATTTTTTAGAGTCCGAATACCATGAACTGCATATGGCGTCAAGTCCGAGAGACGATTGAGTTATCTCGAGTTGGACCAATGTCGCCCCAACAATGAATAGTCGAAATATTAGGTCCATCCTTTGGAACCTGGGCCCAATTTCCTGGCGCTGCTAAGCACACAATTTTACGCTGACAGTAGCTCTTCGTGTTTTATGAAAACCGTAAGCAGTAAGCACAACAAAAGGTACGCTTACCCTGAAGAAGAAACTGGCTTAACTTAGTGACAAAACAATGGGAATCTTTATGCGTCCGCATGGGTAAGCACAACCACGCCAAACATCGACACGAAATAGCGATAAGCAAAATCATCCGCTCCAGTAAGCACTACTTTTCTGCTAATTGCTAAGCAGCTCCATGAAATTGGGCCCCGCGGGTCGTGGTTATCGCTGGTCACCGCTGGTTGTCATATTTTTGGACGTAATTGTAAGTTCACAACGAACCATTGGTTTGGGCACATTTTGTACAATGAACGAATCGAAAGATGCAGCGGTAAAAAGTGGGAGACGATGTTATTTGGCAAAGCAGTCTGACAACGGAAGTTCCAGTGAGACTGCATTACGCCAGCTATAGGCTAGCGCATTGTTAAGAAGTAACTGACCTGTGATTGAACTGTGTAGTTCGCGTCCAAAAGTGTCCTTGCGTTGTCTGGCATCACGACCGCACCCATCCCAATCCATTCTCGTTCATTTTTCCTTTCTTAAAGCCCCATATGCGGTGGCTTTGAAAACACGAAATGCCTCGAGATGAGGAACAACAATAAGAATCGTGCTTTGAAAGTGCTTGGGACTGAGAAACCTAATGGCTTATGACCGACGAGATGCGTTCCCGTAACCTACTTATCGTCAAACCCAAGCTACGAGAGTGGATTACATCGTAGAAGGGTTTCTTCGAAGAATAATACAAGTACTGTACAGCAGAACGTATTTTGAAAATGGATCTCTTCTGATTATTGATCCTATCTATAGATCAAAAAGCACGTCAATTACTCTGATTGGGAGAAGGTTGTATGACTCGGTTCTCCCAAAACAAGCTGGCGGTATAATTTGGTAGAAGGCGGCTTACTTCAAGAACAATGATCGGCTCACGTTTAATCTCCCAAATGGGATGAAAACTTCTGACTTCCCACCTAAGGAGTTACTAGAGAGAACAGTAGGCCACCTGTACAATTTGTGTCGAGTTTTAAAGTCAAGGAGACCATGAACTGACGAGTTAGTCTAAGGGTCAGGGGTCTTATCTTTTTCCCTTGGGTTAGACTGCTCAAGAGCCTGGGTCAATGGCAAAAAACTTACACCCTCGTTCAAAAGTTTCTCGATTCAGCTGGTTTTAGTATAGTTTATGTGGGGACTGCTGTGACAATTACGAACTCATGGGCCCTCATGAACATGAAGAAGACATTTAGACAGACACGTCTGTCGTAGAGGCTTTCGAGAACCTTCCCGAAGGATTCTTCAGACAATGCTGTTTGCGACTTTGATGTGGTATCTTAAAACGTGCGGCTGCTTCGGGACATACCGTGGTGGCTTTCCAGAGACTACAGGAAATTGGCCAACACTGTCCCTCAAGGTATTTTGATTGCCCTGGCTCAAAAGTACAAAAAGCAAGAAAAGTATATAGTTTCCTGGCTTCTTATATCACTCTCTGAGAAGGCCGTAGCGAGTAGGTTGACCTGACGTGTTAGCCAATGCATCCGCTGACCCATCTTTTCGTATGACGAATGTATGTCGCAGTTTCCGAGGCTCGCAAACGTGGTTTCGAACTCGGGAAGCAAACTAAGCGTAGACACTTAACTTTGGGCTTCTTGATCATACTGATTTCCTGATTGCTCTAGGTGCCACTAAGTACGAAGTATGAAGTACCACTAAGATACCAGAGGATTCACGCTCTCGACTAGCCTTTTTAGAAAGTTGATCAGCCTTCAGTTTCCAAGAACCGATGGAAGGCACAACTATAGGCCCTGGAATGTGTTGCTCTAAGGATGTCTGCTTGTCACAGCTCTACAGGCCTGGGTGGAAACGTTCCTTCACCGTCAAAGAATGTCCGGAGCAGCCTTGGTTTGGGTCGAGTACTTAGAGTCCCTTCAGCCCAACTAGGAGGCATAAGCTTACAACTGCAAAGGCTCATCGTTATTGTCAGTTCTATCATGATGTTTGCTGCGCGGGTCCTATTTTCTTTTCAAGACTGTTACGGGTTATCTTTGGCCAAAGATTCACAATGAACCTACAGCGGTTGCCAAAGGGCTGTTTGACCACCCTGGCTTGGCAAAAGGCTGTTTGACCACCCTGGCTTGGCAAAAAGATCCTCGGCTCTATGCCAAGAGCTGTATAAGCTCTACCGACTGCTTTGGTTCGAGTCAACGCATCATCGGAAGTACCAAACCATGGACTTTACCAAGTCAGTAGTTGAATCGCAGACCTTACATGTGGGCATCACAGAATAAACTGTACCATCGAAACCAGATTAAAATACGCAGCAAAATACTTGGATGCCCAGTAAGGTCCCGGTGGAAATGGACAAATTGGAGGCGTCCACACACTGAGGCCACCTGCGCCATCTTTGTTCGCCAATAATACAAGCGAATTTCATTGTTTTCTTTAAATTTTGTCGAAGTGAAATTAAAATTTACGCCTCTGTTAAAATTATATAGTCACTGAGCTCTTTAAATTACAAATTCGGCATTCGTTAACGTGAAACACAAAAGCTTGGGGAAGGAAAATGGAGGCCGGGAAAGTGGCCTTATGGCGTATAGGCCAACCATTGAACCAACGTTTCACAGCCTGTCACCGCCTGTGTATGGAGACCGTTAATAGGATTTCATCTTCAGTTGGTATAACATGCCAGACCAAACCTGGATCCGAACGCATGCATGGCTGGCCAGGCTGTGTAATGTTGCGCCCATGAGTACGCGTCCAACGAGACATCCTACATCGGCCGCGGCCAGCCCCTGTGATGAAATCAACCGCGTAAAAATAACAGATGATTATCCGGCCCATTTGCTGTTGGTCTGTATGACTAGTGTCTTCGGGTTTATACTTCATAATGGGGATACAACTGTGACTTGTATTCCGAAGGTAAAAATGCAACGGTACCGTTTAAAGCGTAAACGGCGCGCTGTGTATTGTTCTTGTTTGACAAAAATACCGGCTAAATACAACCACGGAGAACAACCCGAAGAAGTGTGATACCAAACTTCAAAGAGTTTGCGCCAAAAAGGACCTCGATCATAATTGAAGTGCACCTGATATTGTGACAGGTGCAAAACCTTGCGACAAAGAATACAGACACAGTTAGTGACAACAGGAACCAGTTACATCGAAAAGGAATTGCGGAGAACTTTACTGAAAGGATCTTCTCCCCAAATTGCGATGTATTAGTCTAAATAGGACTTTCTTCTTTATCTGGGGAATGAAGTTTCCAGAACGCCGCTCTTTGTAATCCACATTAATTGTCGTAAGACTCGAGGACAGCTTACGTGTACGATTGCACAGTGTATCAATACTCTGGTTATTTGCGCTAATGGCTCACATTGTCGTTTCTTGTGGCCTGGTATAAAAATGTGCAGCCTTTTCCAGTGCACTTAGGTTTCGAGGACAGCGTTTTCATTAAAGGTGACAGTATGGGGGCTGAATGGCCGGTGAGCTATCAGTCTTGGGCGATAT